CCCCCCCCCGCCCGCCCCGCCACCATCCAGGCCTGCTATCTGCGACCCGACCCGGGGCAGCGGGGCAGGATAGCAGTGATTCGCCGGCCCACCTGGCCGCCATCCGGGGCTCCCATGTGCGACCCGACCCGGAGCGAAGACTGGAAGCCAAGCACTGCAGAAGGGAGCAAAATGGCAGAGAAGGGAACGGAGACAGGAGCAGAGCTGAGGCAGCAGACACGGAAGGGAGTGAGGCAGCAGAAATGGGAGGGAGCGAAATGGCGTAGAAGGGAGGGAGCAAGGCAGCGGAGAAGGGAGGGAGCGAGGCAGCGGAGAAGGGAAGGAGCGAAGCGGCAGAGAAGGGAGGGAGCCGAGGTGGTAGAGACGGGAGGGAGCGAGGCAGCGGAGAAGGGAGCGAAGCCCACTGCGGACTTCGCTCCCTTCTCTGCTTCGATCCGGCCTCAGGAAGTCCTATTCTTGCAGGAATAGGCCCAAGGAAGCCCTATTCTTGCAGGAATCTTCCTGCAACAGGACTCTAGTCTTAAAATAATTTTGTTGAGTGAAAGAAGCCAGGCAAACAAAAGAACACACTGGGACACATCCTTGTGCTTCCTTTGAAAGCTGGAAACTGTTGCCACTATATTTCTCTTTCTGGCAAATATGACCTCCTGCACCCTCTGTTAGTTCTCTCTGCTAAGCTTGCCTCCTATACTTCACCACCTTAAAGTAAGAGCAAGTTATCATCCACACACAACCATACCCAGTGAGAAAGAGAAACCTACTCTTGAAAGCAAGAAGAAAGAAGCAGGTTAGTAGAGAACTTGCTTAAAAGATGTGTTTACAAGACTGTTCCCATGGCCAACATTTTGGCATTTTCAGGTAGTAAAATAAGTAATGAAAAGTCATAGGTAAAATAAACAAGGATGTGGGGAACCTAAATATAATACAAAAAGTAACAACTTCATTAAAAACAAGTAAAATAATCACACTGAAGAGGTTAGGGGGAAAAGAACAAACCTAGGTTACTTTGGAAAACAGAGTTTTGGCTGCATTCTGTAAGGTTAAAGATAAATTTATTTTTCACAGGAATGTGGGTTAGCAATTCTAAATCACTTTATGTGAATACTAGGAGACAGATGTCAGAATGAGGAAAGGGGCCCTGGCCGGTGTGGCTCAGTTGGTTGGAGCGTCGTCCCATACACCAAAGGGTGGTAGTTTCAATTCCTGGTCAGGGCATATGCCCAGGTTGCAGGTTCCATCCCAGGTCCGTGTGTGTGCAGGAGGTAAATGATCTGTGTTTCTCTCTCACATCAATGTCTCTCTCTCTCTCTCTTGCCCCTTCCTCTAAAAATCAGTATTTAAAAAAATTTTTGAAGAATCAGGAAAGGGGAGGTGCTGGATTGAAATTAGAGGTACTTAATATATGTACAGCCCTGACCGGTTTGGCTCAGTGGATAGAGCATCGGCCTGCGGACTGAGGGGTCCAGGGTTCGATTCCAGTCAAGGGCATGTACCTTGGTTGCAGGCACATCCCCAGTAGGGGGTGTGCAGGGAAGCAACTGATCGATGTTTCTCTCTCATCGATGTTTCTAACTCTCTATCCCTCTCCCTTCCTCTCTGTAAAAAATCAATAAAAAAAAAAAGAATAGGAAATAAGAGTGCTTTGCATATAGAGGTGGTGTTACTTCTTGTGACTTTCTTGTATGTGCATATATATATATATATATATATATGTACAGATGGACAGATCTAGAAACAAATGCAGATGTATGTGTGCATTGGTTAGCATATAGACAGATACAGGGTGTCCCCCAAAAATGTATACATACTTTAATAGCTGATAGTTCAATTTCAAAAATGAAATGTGTTTTAATAAACACTGCCTTTATAATTATTCAAAGGGTGTGTATACATTTTTGGGACACCCTATATTTCCTGTCTGCTGAGAGGGCCTACAATCAATGACAGCGCAGTAGCAATGAGAATACCTAGTGCCCTGATCCCGATACCTAAACACCATTTGTCAATAAAATGAACTTATTGGAGCAGTGGTTGAGTCTAGGCCTGAAACTGGAAAATGACCAAATTAGCCAGGAGTATCTTGTAGTAGAGAAAGTAGGGTGTTTTCAACAATGATGGAGAACATAAGGCACTTTGAAAAAGCTCCTAATGGACAAATCTGTGACAATTTGAGCAAGAAAATAATGATAGCAATGGATTATATCACCCAGGGTAAAATAAATACCCAGGAGTCCATACTAACATAAATTATTGAATCAGTTAATAAATGGGGGAGAAGGAACAGTTCTTCTTTACATAATTACAATTAAAAACGTAGAGCCCTGGCCGGTTTTCTCACTGGTTAGAGCGTCGGCCTGCAGACTGAGGGGCACAGGTTCAATTCCAGTCAAGGGCACCGTACCTCGGCTGAAGGTTCAATCCCCGGCCCCCCTCGGGCACATGCGGAAGGCAAACAATCAATGTGTCTCTTTCACATGGACATTCTCTCTCTCTCTCTCTCTCTCTCTCTCTCTCTCTCTCTCTCCCCTCCCCCCTTTCCTCCTACTCCTCTCTCCCATCTACTCTCTCTAAAAACAAAAAAAAGGAAATGGAAAAATATCCTCGGATGAGGATTTAAAAAAAAAAGTAAAAGGCATGATGGAAATGGGCAAATACCACAGAAATAAGTTTTGCAGGCCAGAATAACTGATAGATATTTGCACAGTCTCAAAGTATTCCCCCATAAGATGCTTAATCATTTCAAAAAAGCAGATATCACCTTACCCTGCTGATCAAGGTAAACATGACTAATGATGAGACATAGCAACATCATGAACCTTCTCATATGATGCACTAAGAAGGGTTCAATCTCACTTTTGCAGCATCTTTGCTAAAAATTTAGAAACTCTGCCTGGCTGTTTAGTGGTTGAGTATCAACCTATGAACCGGGAGGTAATGGTTCAATTCCTGGTCAGAGCACATGCCCAGGGTTGTGGGCTCGATCCCCAGAAGGGAGCGTGCAGGAAGCAGCCAATCAATGATTCTCTTTCATCATTAATGTTTCTATCTCTCGCTCCGACTCCCTTCCTCTTTGAAATCAATAAAAATATATTTAAAAAATTTTTTTAGAAACTCAATCTAAACATGAGAAAACATTTTTTTAAAAAAACTGAAACAGCATGGATGGACCTGGAGAGCATTATGCTAAGAGAAATAAGCCAGTTGGAGAAAGATAAATATCACATGATCTCACTCATTTGTGGAATATAATGAACAACATAAACTGATGAACAAAAATAGATCCAGAGACACAGAAGCATCTAACAGACCATCCAACCTCAGAGGGAAGGTAAGGGAGGCTGGGAGCAGGGGAAGTAAGAGATCAACCAAAGGACTTGTACGCATGCATATAAGCAGAACCAATGGACACAGACAGTAGGGGGATGAGGGCCTGTGCTGGGAGGCGGGAGCCGGCGGGGACAGGTCAATGGGGGGAAAAGGAGACATATGTAATACTTTTAATAATAAAGAATTTAAATTAAAAAATAAAATAAAAATTGAGTGACATTCCACAAAATGCCTAGCCAGTACGCTTCTTAAATGTCAAGGTCTTAAAAGATGTGGAAAGACTAAAGAACTGTCTCATCAGACTGAGGAGACTAGAGACATGACAACCAGATACAAGTGGGATCCTCAATCAGATCCTAGCACAGAGAAAGGAAATTAGTGGGAACACTGGCAAAATTCAAATAAGGTCTGTAGATTTTCTAAAAATAGTATTTTTATCAGTGTTAATTTTCTGGTTTTAATCACTGAACCCCTGGTTTGTACGGTTAACGTTAGGGGAACCCAGATAAAGCATATACACAACTCTGCACTATGTTTACATCTTGTCTGAACTGTAAAAATATTTCAAAATAAAATGTTTAAATAAATCTGTGATTTAGATGACCTCTGTGGGCCCCAAGCAGTCTAATCAGCATCTCCAGCTACCGCCACACAAGGTGCTGAGCTGCACCCTGTACCACCCTTCATAGAGGCAACCAAATGCTAACAGCCTATAACTGGAGCAGGGCGCTTACATGTGATGCCCACTTTCTTTCTACTTCTGTTATCTGAATTTTTTTATTTTTTTTAATCCTCACCCGAGGATATTTTTCCACTGATTTTCAGAGAGAGTAGAAGAGAGAGGTAAAGACAGAGAGAAAAATCGATGTGAGAGAAACACATCGATTGGTTGTCTCCTGCATGAGCCCTGACTAGGGCCTGGGCCAGGGAGGAGCCTGCAACCGAGGTACGTGCCCTTGACTGGAAGTGAACCCAGGACCCTTCAATCCACAGGATGACACTCTATCCACTGAGCCAAACCAGCCAGGGCTGTTATCTGAAGTCTCTACAATGTGCACATATTATACATGATAAGAAAATTGTGGGGTGGAAGAAGCAGTGAACTATACCAAATGTATGTATTTATAAAAATTATGTCCTCTTATAAGGAAATAACATTTCATACTCATCACAATAGGAATAATTTCTTGTCAATTACCAAATAAAATGCTGTCTAAATAAAACACTAAAGTAATTATTGAAGTAATTAAAAGAAGAAACAGTCCTGCTAACTTCTGATCTAAGCCAGACCTTGAAAGATTAAGAAAATTTCTATATTGTGTGAATGACATTGTTTCCTTTGGTGTTCATCCTGTTTTATTAAAATAAGATTTTTAAACAATGGTAAACTATTTTTAAAATACAATTTTTTCACTTACTTTTTCATTTTTTATAGTTACATAAAGATAAACCTCAAAAGTATCATCTTCTACAGCACATAATTTGGCTTCCACCTGGGTAGTTGCTAAGTGGCATAAATGAAAACATTAATCAGCTGATATCAAAAGTATATTTGAAACAACTGGACTATTTCCCACCTATTAATCTCTGCTAACCACTTCTGATTACCCAGCACCACCTGCCCGACAGCTTCCCCTGCAGGTGGGTCTGAATGCAGGAAGGTCTGCAGGTGGGCAAGTCGAGGGGAGGCTCTCCTGGCAGGCAGGCAGCCTGTGTCCTGTCCCCATCCACCCAGTCTTTCATCCGCGTCCACCTTCCAAATGCCCACAGAGCAGAGCTCTTGACCCTCTCGGAGACTTGCTAATCCAGCAGCTCCATGTACGGGTACCTAGTGGACACCATGCTAAGTCCTTTACAAACGTATTTCACTTCACTCTTACCATAACCTTTGAGAGTCACTGTACACGTGAAGAGACCAGGCTCAGCGAAGGCTCCACAGCAGAAACAGGGCAGTATTCAAACCTAGGCACTCTGCCTTTCCAACCTCTGTCTCCCAGCATTCCCCACTAGGCTCACAAGGACCAAAACTCCAAAACCAGCAACCCTCACCCCAACCTCCGATTTCTCACAGCATCTGGCTGTTTCTTTAACAGAGGGGTGGGGAAGATCTGGCACGAGGGCCATATAAGGCCCATGAAATCACTTGGTCTGGCCCTGCCAATGCATTAGGGGTGAGTTAATTAAATGTTTGACCAAATATAGCAGGCTAATTTTTAAGCTGGTAACTGTGTATGGCCCGAGAATGATGTCAAATGGCCTTTGACAGAAAAAAGGTTCCACACCCTGCTTTAACCGGACAGTGGGGCAGCAGAGGAGAGGGGCCAGGACCTCAACAGGTACAGGCAGCACTCCAAGAGCTCACACCCACTACTTCTCAAAACAGCCCTCGGAGGCGGGCACAGTTATGTGGCTCTTGGCTGCCAGGGGTTTGGACAGCTGCCACAAGTGAGTCTCCATATCATATTGCTACACTCACCAATATGAAGAGAACACACTGCAAGGTGCTCTGAGACAGTCTATACCTGTTAAATTAGCAATAATGATTACACAATAACTTGGGCTTTTAATCAATTGCTGGTTCAGTAACACACATGTAAATTTATTTTGCAGTGCTTCAGCTTCTATGCAAACTAAGAGGCAGGCACTGTTTCTGTGTAAGCATCTCTTACCCATACAGCCTCTTTCTAACCTCACCTCTCAATTACTGATGTCCACATTCATCCCCCAAAATTCCAGGACTGCAGCGTCACTGTGCCATTGGGGTAGAAGAAGCTCCAGATAACTTATGAACCCATATGAGGAGGGCCAAACAGCTAAGCACGCACATCTCAAACCTCCCCAACTGAAGGTTAAACCACCTTGGGTGTCAGTTCAAAGCGGGCTGCAGTGACAGCACACTTGCCTTACCTTTCAGGATGTTCTGAAAGTACTGAATAGCTGCAGTGTCCCACTTCTTGGCGGGTCTGGAACGGTGAACAGATGCAACGTCATTAAATAGAAATCTGAGGTTAGTACACTAACATCATTTTATAACACTCACTGGGTATTTCCGACATTACGTATTGGCATATGATGCAGGTAATGGGGACGGCCCCAACTGCAGCCTGCAACGGGCTCCTCACCGCTGCCGCCTGCACCTGGGCAGAGACTCTTTGAGAACGGGCCTGCCATTGTCTGTCCCAACACCGTTGCCCCCAGTTACCTGGGACATAGCTGCCTCCCCAACAGAACACAAGCTCGCTGGGGCAGGAATCCTGAGTGTGCAGTGCTCAGCACAGGCTGGCACACAGCAAGGCCTCCAAACATGTTGGTCAAACCAACATTCTGAGAGCGGCCACTGTTGTCTCATGCTACTCCTCACTCAGCCGACACCCTCTCACTGTCGCCCATTTTCTATCACCTTGCCTTTTCCTATGCTTTGGAAAGAAAATCGCAATAGACTTCTGGTCAAGATGGTGGTGTAGGTAAACAGTACTCACCTCCTCCCACAACCACATCAAAATTACTAAACTACAGAACAACCATCATTCAGAACCAACTGAAATCTCAGTGAAACGAAGTCCTACAAGTAAGGATATAAAGAAGAAGCCACATCGAGATTGGTATGAGGGACAAGACTGGTAGGAGAGGTGGACCCAGGGAAGTGAATGGTCCCACACCCAGGTGTGGCACATAAAAATCGGTAGGGAGGAATGAGGGATGGGGGGAAAAGGTGAAGGGATTAAGAAGTACAAACTGGCCCAGTCTGGCATGGCTCAATGGTTGAGCATCAACTTATGAACCAGGAGGTCACGGTTTGATTCTCAGTCAGGGCACATGTCAGGGTTGTGTGCTGTGGGCTCGATCCCCAGGGCGGGGCATGTAGGAGGCAGCTGATCAATGATTCTCATCATTGATGTTTCTATCTCTCTCTCCCTCTCCCTTCCTCTCTCAAATCATTAAAAATATTTTTTAACAAAAAAATAATATTTAAAAAAAGAAGTACAAATTGGTTGTTACAGAATAGTCACAGGAATGTAAAGTACAGCACAGGGAATATAGTCAATAATATTGTAATAACTAAATATGGTGTCAGATGGGTGCAAGATTTATCGAGATGATCACTTAAATAATCTAATCACGGTGATGTACACCTGAAACTAATACAATATATACTAACTGTAATTAAAAATAAAGAATTTTTTAAAAAAAGAAAATTGCAGGAAAAGCTGTAGGCAGAGGAAGATCAGGAGAAGCCAGTATTTGGAAGCAAGGAACAAAAATAAAATAAGGTTAGAATGAAATGTTTTGTTTCTCCACTGGTTTTATTTATCAGAGATGCCACCACCATCCTCCCAGGGTTGTTTTAAAGATCAAATGAGGTAATGTACATAAGCACATAGCCCAGTGCCTGGACTAAAATATTATTTTTCTTTTTACTAAGAAAGACATTAAGCATATTACTTCAAGAGAATTACAAAGGGTTTCTAAAAGAAGGCTAAATAAATAAAAGACAGTGGTTCTAGGTGTGCTCTCCCTCCCAGGAGCCTGTGCCGTTCCCTTTCCACACTCATTCCCTACAAGCATGCATCCGCTAAACTCTAAGGGACCGTCCCCACGAGGCTTGCAACCAGGGAGTAATGGGCAGCAGCATCTTGTCCTGGGCTAACCCGCTGACCCTGTCCCCAAGACTCCCTTTCTAAAATTAAAAAAAAGAATTGATGTTTCTATCTCTCTTCCCCTCTCCCTTCCTCTCTGAAATCAATAAAAAATGTATTTAAAAATATATCATTTTCACCCAGCCATCAAGCAAAAATGAAAAATCCTGATGATATCCAGTGTCGTGTGGGGAAAACAGCACTTTCTACACCCAATTACAGAAATACAAATCACTAGTCATTTTGAAGGGAAATTTGATAAAATCTATAAAAACTGCAATATGCATATTGAGACACATTCTAGATGAAGGGTACTTGTCAAAGAAGGTAATCAAAACCCAGTAAGATCAGTTACTTAAAGCCTTCGCCTGCACTGAGGGTATCCTCGGGCTGGGTGTGTCCGAGGCTGGGAGGGTCCCTGAGGAGCCCAGTATGCTGGGAGAGGGGTAATGCAGAGGGGGGAGCAGACTGCCGCTGAGGGAGAGCTGAGCACGGACAGGCAGGCACCCAAGTCACCCAGGAGGGTGAGCAGCTACTGATCTGAAAGGACAGGGGAGGAGGCTGGGGTTGCTTGGGCAGCGTGGCAGGGTGCAACGGCCTCAGCAGAGACAAGCTGGCTTGGTATCTTCTTAGTGCAGCTTCCAAGGCCAGCACAAGAGTGATGCATTCACCATTTCAAGGGAACTGTCGGTGATGGGAGTTGGAGGAACTGAGATGGGAGGGTCTCCATAGACTCCACGAATGTTGTGCTGTTTCTGTAGCTTTTCTTCCCACAATGCCACAGTTCTGGAGGAAGAGGGAGAAGGAGCCCCAGGTGGGAGGATGGACCTCAGGTAGTCTTGTTCAAGACTGCAAAAATCACAGCCACACCCCCAACACAGCACTGCTTGATGCAGGGACCTGTCCTGTACAAACACTGGCAATGGGGCCAAATACTAGGGAGAAAAGGCAAAGATGGGGTGCATGTGTGTGACATGTGTGAGTATGTGTGTACACACGTGTATACCTCTCTACATCTATATGTCTTATACGGATGTATCTATATTTTGATGAAAATGTACAGTGCAAAATGGTTTGGAAACAATCTAGCTGGCTATCAAAAGAGGAATGGTTAAATACAGCAAGTATGCCATTATATTTACCCATGAAAAAGACTGAAAGCAGAAGAGGGTACAAAGAGTTTCAACATACATTAAGTTAAATTTGCAAATAAGACAGTAGGTTGTAATTTGCATAAAAGCTCCATGTAAATGAATATGTATAAAAGCCCTGAAAAAGGTCTGCAAGTTCAGAGCCTAAACAGGTCACAGAGGCCTCCCAGGAGAGAGGAAGTGAGGCTGGAGAAGAATGCAACGGACTTTTCTTTTAATGCTCCATGATCCTACATGTTGTACCCTTTACAGTTATTACTTTTTTAAATATATTTTTATTGATTTCAGAAAGGAAAGGAGAGGGAGACAGAGATAGAAACATCAATAATGAGAAAGAATCATTGATCGGCTGCTTCCTACATGCCCCACCCTGGGGATCGAGCATACAACCCGAGCATGCGACTGACCGGGACTCGAGCCGTGACCTCCTGGTTCATAGGTTGACCCTCAACCACTGGGACACACAGGCCAGGCAGTTATTACTTTCTGTAAGTGGGGGGAAAAGGGAAGCCGAAAAGCAGAGTTCAGACCCTACTCTAACTCCAATTGCAGCCGCTGTAGGTGGAGTTGCCCAGGGAATTCTGCTCATGACCAGGTTTGACACACACGGACTCAGAAAGTATCTCCTGAAGAAAAAAGAGACCCTTGAGATCGCTTCGCACTTCTCAAGAGGAATTCGTCTCATAGATACATCAGATACTCAGTTAAGTCTTTCACCAATAAATTAACATGTTAGAAGATGTACTTACACAATTTTAGCACTGTCTTCACAAAAGTCAAAGTGTAATGTAACAGGTTTTGTACAATACAGTCTGAATTTTTTCGCTCTGTAGGGAAGCTGCATAAAAGTTTCTACTGCAACTCGGATGCTTTAACAGTGAAACAGAAACAGTTCAATTATAAAGAAAATTACACATAACATTTCTTTAAAGTACACCAATATACCTAATACACAACATAAAAACGAAACACAAAAACCAATTATTTCTGTTTCTAATATAGCCACTAACAGCAAGAAATACTTGGAGACATTTGCCAAAGTTGACAAACAGTGGTTCTTGGGCGGGGGAGAGGAGGGATCGCACTCTTTTTATGTATAAAGCACAGATATACATATAGTACATACACAGGTATTCAGTATAACTCATGTTAAAATTTCATGGCGTGGCCCGGCTCAGTGGATTGAGCATCTTCCCATGGACCAAGAGGTCGCTAGTTTGATCCCAGGTCAGGACACATTGCAGGCTCAATCCCCAGTAAGGGGCATGCCGGAAGCAGCCCATCGATGTTTCTCTCATCAGTGTTTCTATCTCTCTCCCCCTCTCTCTTCCTCTCTTTGTAAAATCAATAAAAACATATACTTTTTTAAAATTTCATGGCATGGGAGTGGGGAGGGATTAGAAAAATGTCTCGTGAGGCTCCTTACATTGAAAAATAATGATCAAACTTGGGAGCAAATTTTATTTAAGATTTTTAAGTATCAGCCCTGGCCAGTAGCTCAGTTGGTTGAGCTTCATCCTGATACACCACGGTTGCAGGTTTGATCCCTGGTCAGGGCACAAAAAAGAGTGGACCAATGGTCCTGGCTGGTTTGGCTCAGTGGATAGAGCGTCAGCCTGCGGACTGAAGGGTCCTGGGTTTGATTCCGGTCAAGGGCACATGCCTGGGTTGCAGGTTTGATCCCCAGTAGGGGGCATGCAGGAGGCAGCCAATCAATGATTCTCTCTCATCACTGATGTTTCTATCTCTCTCTACCTCCCCCTTCCTCTCTGAAATCAATAAAAATATATCTTAAAAAGAAAAAAAAAGTGGACCAATGAATGCATCAGTAAGTGGAACAATAAATCAATGTCTGTCTGTGTATCTCTCTGTCTCTCCTTCCCTCTCTCTCAAATCAATAAATTTAAAAAAATTTTAAAGATTTTTAAGATATTTAAGTATCAATTTCAATACACAACCAGAATTACCTTAACGTTTCTATAAATGAGAAGTTTTCATAATTAGTGTTAGCCAACTCTGCACAAAAGAGCTGAAAGGACTGAGATTTGATAAGTTGCTCAACATTTTTTATTTCCCTTCTTCCAGGTAAATGACAGACTTGAACACACCATTTCGACATACACGGGTTATGATGATGCCACACGGACAGGCTAGGCACCTTTTGTCTCAGTTCAGAAAACGGTGGTGGCATTAACTGCCCCTCAAGGCCTCCTTGTGCTCTATTTAATCATATGATTCTCTTGCCCAAAACAAACTAAACTTAAAATTCAAAACACTAAAAGAAAATATCCCCCAAAAGTTCAACAACAGGTGTGTGGGGTGTTTTTTTTTTTAACAATTACAGCTATAAAGGTGCAAATCACAAGCTGGAAATGCATCCTTTTTCTTAAACACCTGCAAATTTCCTTCTGCCATGGCATTCTTAAGATAATTCAATCAGATAAGCCTCTTATTGCGGTTGAAATCTATTTGGTGTTACTCTTTTGGAAGAAGAGTCCTCATATTTATTTATTAAACTGACATCCTCTTACTCTGGGATGGGGAACCATGGAAAAATTACCACAAACACTTATTGACAGTATTTTCTCATGAACTGTGACATGTGGCCCTAGAATCAGTGAGGGTTCTTTCTGGCCAGGGGCACCTGGGAGATGCAGAGCACCTGCCCTTTCCAGGAAAGGAGGTGGCAGGAGGCTGGAGCTGCCTGCTGAGTCTTCATTCTGACCACTTGCTCCGACACTCACTGCCATGCAGCACTGAATGGAACCTGACGTCTACAAGAAGGCTTCCCTTCTTGAAGCTAAAAAAAAAAAAACAACCGCCCTGACCGGTTTGGCTCAGTGGATAGAGCGTCAGCCTGCGGACTGAAGAGTCCTGGGTTCGATTCTGGTCAAGGGCATGTACCTTGGTTGCGGGCAAATCCCCAGTTGGGGGTGTGCAGGAGGCAGCTGATCTATGTTTCTCTCTCATTGATGTTTCTGGCTCTCTATCCCTCTCCCTCCCTCTCTGTAAAAAACCAATAAAAAATATATTTTTAAAAAATCCTCCAGCTTACAACCTCTATCCCCTTACTTTGAACACTGGCACGCTCCTTTAAAACTGGCATTTGTCTCCTTAAACAGCATAAGGCAAAAAAAGTCATACGTACTTTTTTGATTTCACTGGAATGTACTTGGCAAAATCCACAAGGAAACACTCTGCCAGGTAATGATCTGCTGAACACACGATTGACTTAATGACAGCCCTGCACCAGCACTTGAGTTCCTGACAATAAACCACACAAACCTACAAAATGAAAACTTCCGTGTTAACATCTCTAGCCATATAAGGGGAGCCTAAAGGTCCTCTCAAAATCACCTCAGCCTACATTTCACCTTCAGAAGAGGAAAGAGATTCAAGGAGGCTGGCCCTGCCTCAGCTGGACACCGCTGGTCAGTGAAAGAATCTAAGTCAAGAACACAGGACACTGAATTCTACTTCGCTCTTTTTTTTTTCTACAATCCTTTTGACTGCTTAAAGGACAATTTAAAGAAAGGCTTCTTAAATCAAAGCTTCAGAAACGAAACCTCAACCCCAGGTCATCTTCCCCATTTTCCTCCCGTAGCTTTCACTGCCCTCTGACACTTGTTTACTACCTCACACTCCTGTAAGTCAGCTCTGTGATGTGGATTTTTGTCTGTTTTGTTTATTGCCATCCTCCCAACACCTAGAACAGTGTTTGGCCTGTACTAAAGTCTTCAAAATCGACTTGTTGAGTGACTTGTTGAGTGGCACAGTTGCTTGGAGCATTATCCCATGCATCAAAAGGTTGTGGGTTCTATCCCTTAGTCGGAGGGTATAAGGGAGGCAACCAATTGAATTTTCTCTCTCTCTCTCTCTCTCTCTCTCTCTCTCTCTCTCTCTCTCCCTCCCTCCCTCCTTTCCTCATTCCCTCCCTCCCTTCCTCTCTCTCTAAAAATCAAGTTTAGCTCAGCTGGTGTGGCTCAATGGTTGAGCATCGACCTATGAACCAGGAGGTCATGGTTCGATAGCCGGTCAGTGCACATGCCCAGGTTGTGGGCTCAATCCCCATTGTGGGGCGTGCAGGAAGCAGCCAATCAATGATTCTCTCTCATCACTGATGTTTCTATCTCCCTCTCCTTTCCTCTCTGAAATCAATAAAAATTTAAAAAACAAAAATCAATTTTAAAAAATATCCTTGGGTGAGGATTAAAATAATAATAATACATTTTTTAAAAAATTTTCTGTAGTCCCCTTTTAGGGAAACTACCCTGCTGAACTGTCAGGCGTGGCATCCTGACTGTCCCACAAGACTGCCAGGCCACAAGCGACTCAACGGCAATCCACACACAGGCAAACCAAATATAAAGTGGCCCAGTGGGGACAGCTGTGCCCAACAAGGAAGAAGTGGGCCAACTGAGAATCCTGCCCTCAGGAATTAAAGTTGGAAAACACAGTGCAGCCATTCTGCAAAACTCAAATAATTCAAGACATATTCTGCCAAAGGATGGAGGTTACTTCTGTTTAATTCTTAAGTCAAAGTAACTTGTAGGAATGGTCTGAATAGGTACTAATTCACACAGGCAGTTAATTTTGAAGTTGTGGTATATTAGGGTTCCCACTAGTCAAAAATGGAATAAGTTAGGCATCAAGAACAATGATTATACCTGATGAATGTATTAAAAGCCACGATGAATGTATTAAAAGCCATGAGTTCAATACTTATGGCTTAAAAAATAAAAAAGAGAAACAAAACACCCTGTGGACACCAATGTAGATAACTAGGCACAAATCACTATGCTAAAAATTGATAAGGGAAAGAATCAAGTAATGTTTCTAACTTTCCAGGATAAATTGTATTATGTCAGGGTAGCCAAACAATCCCAACAGATGAGGGAACGTTCTCTGCAGAAGAACTCCAGCTCGTGAACGCAGAAGAAATGTGAAAACGACCAATTTGCAAGCTGAAGTGAAAGCACTGATTGGGGCAGTGGTAACCACTGGATGGTACAACCATGACGTGAAAAGCTGATGGCATCACCAGCAGGGAGAGCTCAGGCTGTCACCATCTAAATCCACTGGTCAATCTCAGCATCACCAAAAGTGATATTATGTCCCAATCCAATACAAGATGAAGCTCATAGTACCAATCGTTCCAGGGGGTGGGGGGCAAGTGACCCTAAATCCAATCAAAGCTTTAACTATTAGACCACAGAAAATACAGGGTATACAGAGGGAAAGTTCACTACCACCACCACTAGGAAGCAATCAGGCTATCCAAAACGTGGAGTATTTCTTTTAAATGTGGAGTATTTTTTTTTAAGTGGAATATTTTAAAAGGACAACTGACCTGGTTTCCATTTCTTAAAGCAATGGTATGGGGGGGGGGGAAATTAATGTTATGAATGATGATTTTTGAGAGGGAAAGGAATTAAAATTGTTTCTAATTCTCCTCAGTTTATAAATCTTTTCCAATCATGCTATTAGAAAAATTCAAACTTTTCTGAGAAATAACTGATCTGTAGACAGAACCAGACAATAGGATTGGGACTTGAGGCTACAAGAAAGCAAGGAAGGACAATGATTTAGGGTAAGAAACATAAAGGAGCACGAGATGACCAAAGTCATGGGCAAACTACAAAGGAGGCATCAACCCTAGACTGCAAACCCCATACCCTCTGCTGAGGTGCCGACACCTGTGATAAATCTAAAATAATCCTCAGCCCCAAGAGGATGGCCCCAATGCCTAAATTTACATGACACTCCATCTCCTGTTGCCCCATATGACCCTATACACTGCCATGTCCCATGATTAGCCTAAATCTTGTGCAACCGTCACAAGGCAATGATTACAAGCAACAGAATACTCCAAAAGCTTTTATCATCTTAGTTGCCAAAATATTCTATATTTTGAGTAGTATTTCAAGAGATCATGCTTAAAGCACATTTAGATACATACCTGCCCTTCTTCCAACATTAATGGTTTTATTTCTATGTCTTGACGCGTGCTATTATAGAAGTCATTCATGGCGCTATTTAGTTTTTGGTAGTCAATTTCATGATCTAAAAAGGTACTATTCCCTTTTATAATAACCCAGAAGCAACCTGGATCTTCAATCTGTAAAATTTTAAGACAAACAAAACAATGCATGATTTCAAAGTAGGACCACAAAATAATAAAACTTAGAATCACAATGACTGTTTCTAATTTAAGTGATCTAACAAATTCTTGTTAAGCACCTGTCTTAAATGGTCAGACCAAAGATAAAAGACCCTCAATATACATACATATCAAATCATCATGTTGTACACCTTAAACTTACACAATGTTACAGTTAATTGCCTTTCAATAAAGCTAGAAAAAAAGATAAAAGACACAAAAATAAAATCTAAAACATGTCACCAATAATATGTAATTCTTTATTATGTATTGTGACTCAAAAAGCAGAGATCAATGTCCTTGAGCTCCTGTATTTTGAAAATATCCATAATAAAATATAAAAGCAAGGTTCAGACAATGTTTTTAGTATCCTATGTCTTTCATAAGAAAGAGAGGAAATACCCTGGCTGATGTGCTCACTGGTTGAGCATTGACCTATGAACCATGAGGTTTCGGTTTGATTCCTGGTCAGGGCGCATGCCTGGTTGTGGGCTTGATCTCCAGAAGGGGGCGTGTAGGAAGCAGCTGATCAATGATTCTCATCATTGATGTTTCTCTCTCTCTCTCTCCCTTCCTCTCTAAAATCAATAAAAATACATTATTTTTAATTTTTTTTAATTTTTTTATTTATTTTTTATTGCTTAAAGCATTACAAAGGGTATTACATATGTGTCCTTTTTTTGTTTCTTCTTGCTTCTTGCATAAGCTGTTGATTTTTTCATCTGTTTCTTCTTGCTTCTTGCATAAGCTGTTGATTTTTTCATCTGTTTCTTCTTGCTTCTTGCATAAGTAGTTGATTTTTTCATCTGTTTCTTCTTGCTTCTTGCATAAGCTGTTGATTTTTTCATCTGTTTCTTCTTGCTTCTTGCATAAGCTGTTGATTTTTTCATCTGTTTCTTCTTGCTTCTTGCATAAGCTGTTGATTTTTTCATCTGTTTCTTCTTGCTTCTTGCATAAGCTGTTGATTTTTTCATCTGTTTCTTCTTGCTTCTTGCATAAGCTGTTGATTTTTTCATCTGTTTCTTCTTGCTTCTTGCATAAGTAGTTGATTTTTTCATCTGTTTCTTCTTGCTTCTTGCATAAGCTGTTGATTTTTTCATCTGTTTCTTCTTGCTTCTTGCATAAGCTGTTGATTTTTTCATCTGTTTCTTCTTGCTTCTTGCATAAGCTGTTGATTTTTTCATCTGTTTCTTCTTGCTTCTTGCATAAGCTGTTGATTTTTTCATCTGTTTCTTCTTGCTTCTTGCATAAGCTGTTGATTTTTTCATCTGTTTCTTCTTGCTTCTTGCATAAGTAGTTGATTTTTTCATCTGTTTCTTCTTGCTTCTTGCATAAGCTGTTGATTTTTTCATCTGTTTCTTCTTGCTTCTTGCATAAGCTGTTGATTTTTTCATCTGTTTCTTCTTGCTTCTTGCATAAGCTGTTGATTTTTTCATCTGTTTCTTCTTGCTTCTTGCATAAGCTGTTGATTTTTTCATCTGTTTCTTCTTGCTTCTTGCATAAGCTGTTGATTTTTTCATCTGTTTCTTCTTGCTTCTTGCATAAGTAGTTGATTTTTTCATCTGTTTCTTCTTGCTTCTTGCATAAGCTGTTGATTTTTTCATCTGTTTCTTCTTGCTTCTTGCATAAGCTGTTGATTTTTTCATCTGTTTCTTCTTGCTTCTTGCATAAGCTGTTGATTTTTTCATCTGTTTCTTCTTGCTTCTTGCATAAGCTGTTGATTTTTTCATCTGTTTCTTCTTGCTTCTTGCATAAGCTGTTGATTTTTTCATCTGTTTCTTCTTGCTTCTTGCATAAGTAGTTGATTTTTTCATCTGTTTCTTCTTGCTTCTTGCATAAGCTGTTGATTTTTTCATCTGTTTCTTCTTGCTTCTTGCATAAGCTGTTGATTTTTTCATCTGTTTCTTCTTGCTTCTTGCATAAGCTGTTGATTTTTTCATCTGTTTCTTCTTGCTTCTTGCATAAGCTGTTGATTTTTTCATCTGTTTCTTCTTGCTTCTTGCATAAGCTGTTGATTTTTTCATCTGTTTCTTCTTGCTTCTTGCATAAGTAGTTGATTTTTTCATCTGTTTCTTCTTGCTTCTTGCATAAGCTGTTGATTTTTTCATCTGTTTCTTCTTGCTTCTTGCATAAGCTGTTGATTTTTTCATCTGTTTCTTCTTGCTTCTTGCATAAGCTGTTGATTTTTTCATCTGTTTCTTCTTGCTTCTTGCATAAGCTGTTGATTTTTTCATCTGTTTCTTCTTGCTTCTTGCATAAGCTGTTGATTTTTTCATCTGTTTCTTCTTGCTTCTTGCATAAGTAGTTGATTTTTTCATCTGTTTCTTCTTGCTTCTTGCATAAGCTGTTGATTTTTTCATCTGTTTCTTCTTGCTTCTTGCATAAGCTGTTGATTTTTTCATCTGTTTCTTCTTGCTTCTTGCATAAGCTGTTGATTTTTTCATCTGTTTCTTCTTGCTTCTTGCATAAGCTGTTGATTTTTTCATCTGTTTCTTCTTGCTTCTTGCATAAGCTGTTGATTTTTTCATCTGTTTCTTCTTGCTTCTTGCATAAGTAGTTGATTTTTTCATCTGTTTCTTCTTGCTTCTTGCATAAGCTGTTGATTTTTTCATCTGTTTCTTCTTGCTTCTTGCATAAGCTGTTGATTTTTTCATCTGTTTCTTCTTGCTTCTTGCATAAGCTGTTGATTTTTTCATCTGTTTCTTCTTGCTTCTTGCATAAGCTGTTGATTTTTTCATCTGTTTCTTCTTGCTTCTTGCATAAGCTGTTGATTTTTTCATCTGTTTCTTCTTGCTTCTTGCATAAGTAGTTGATTTTTTCATCTGTTTCTTCTTGCTTCTTGCATAAGCTGTTGATTTTTTCATCTGTTTCTTCTTGCTTCTTGCATAAGCTGTTGATTTTTTCATCTGTTTCTTCTTGCTTCTTGCATAAGCTGTTGATTTTTTCATCTGTTTCTTCTTGCTTCTTGCATAAGCTGTTGATTTTTTCATCTGTTTCTTCTTGCTTCTTGCATAAGCTGTTGATTTTTTCATCTGTTTCTTCTTGCTTCTTGCATAAGTAGTTGATTTTTTCATCTGTTTCTTCTTGCTTCTTGCATAAGCTGTTGATTTTTTCATCTGTTTCTTCTTGCTTCTTGCATAAGCTGTTGATTTTTTCATCTGTTTCTTCTTGCTTCTTGCATAAGCTGTTGATTTTTTCATCTGTTTCTTCTTGCTTCTTGCATAAGCTGTTGATTTTTTCATCTGTTTCTTCTTGCTTCTTGCATAAGCTGTTGATTTTTTCATCTGTTTCTTCTTGCTTCTTGCATAAGTAGTTGATTTTTTCATCTGTTTCTTCTTGCTTCTTGCATAAGCTGTTGATTTTTTCATCTGTTTCTTCTTGCTTCTTGCATAAGCTGTTGATTTTTTCATCTGTTTCTTCTTGCTTCTTGCATAAGCTGTTGATTTTTTCATCTGTTTCTTCTTGCTTCTTGCATAAGCTGTTGATTTTTTCATCTGTTTCTTCTTGCTTCTTGCATAAGCTGTTGATTTTTTCATCTGTTTCTTCTTGCTTCTTGCATAAGTAGTTGATTTTTTCATCTGTTTCTTCTTGCTTCTTGCATAAGCTGTTGATTTTTTCATCTGTTTCTTCTTGCTTCTTGCATAAGCTGTTGATTTTTTCATCTGTTTCTTCTTGCTTCTTGCATAAGCTGTTGATTTTTTCATCTGTTTCTTCTTGCTTCTTGCATAAGCTGTTGATTTTTTCATCTGTTTCTTCTTGCTTCTTGCATAAGCTGTTGATTTTTTCATCTGTTTCTTCTTGCTTCTTGCATAAGTAGTTGATTTTTTCATCTGTTTCTTCTTGCTTCTTGCATAAGCTGTTGATTTTTTCATCTGTTTCTTCTTGCTTCTTGCATAAGCTGTTGATTTTTTCATCTGTTTCTTCTTGCTTCTTGCATAAGCTGTTGATTTTTTCATCTGTTTCTTCTTGCTTCTTGCATAAGCTGTTGATTTTTTCATCTGTTTCTTCTTGCTTCTTGCATAAGCTGTTGATTTTTTCATCTGTTTCTTCTTGCTTCTTGCATAAGTAGTTGATTTTTTCATCTGTTTCTTCTTGCTTCTTGCATAAGCTGTTGATTTTTTCATCTGTTTCTTCTTGCTTCTTGCATAAGCTGTTGATTTTTTCATCTGTTTCTTCTTGCTTCTTGCATAAGCTGTTGATTTTTTCATCTGTTTCTTCTTGCTTCTTGCATAAGCTGTTGATTTTTTCATCTGTTTCTTCTTGCTTCTTGCATAAGCTGTTGATTTTTTCATCTGTTTCTTCTTGCTTCTTGCATAAGTAGTTGATTTTTTCATCTGTTTCTTCTTGCTTCTTGCATAAGCTGTTGATTTTTTCATCTGTTTCTTCTTGCTTCTTGCATAAGCTGTTGATTTTTTCATCTGTTTCTTCTTGCTTCTTGCATAAGCTGTTGATTTTTTCATCTGTTTCTTCTTGCTTCTTGCATAAGCTGTTGATTTTTTCATCTGTTTCTTCTTGCTTCTTGCATAAGCTGTTGATTTTTTCATCTGTTTCTTCTTGCTTCTTGCATAAGTAGTTGATTTTTTCATCTGTTTCTTCTTGCTTCTTGCATAAGCTGTTGATTTTTTCATCTGTTTCTTCTTGCTTCTTGCATAAGCTGTTGATTTTTTCATCTGTTTCTTCTTGCTTCTTGCATAAGCTGTTGATTTTTTCATCTGTTTCTTCTTGCTTCTTGCATAAGCTGTTGATTTTTTCATCTGTTTCTTCTTGCTTCTTGCATAAGCTGTTGATTTTTTCATCTGTTTCTTCTTGCTTCTTGCATAAGTAGTTGATTTTTTCATCTGTTTCTTCTTGCTTCTTGCATAAGCTGTTGATTTTTTCATCTGTTTCTTCTTGCTTCTTGCATAAGCTGTTGATTTTTTCATCTGTTTCTTCTTGCTTCTTGCATAAGCTGTTGATTT